CATGCATCTGCTGTAGCAGTTATATCAGGACAACAGAAAGAAGACCATGTCTTAAATTCTTTGAACACATACCAAAAGCCTACATCTCAAGTGAACAAGTGCTTTGAGTAGCGCAGTCACTCACTTGGTATTTTATCGACATAGAACATGAGGTAGATACCTTATAGTCCTTCAAACTAATCAACAAACAACTTAATTTAACCCTTTTCAAATCCTCTGAGGTCGTAGTGATCAAATGACTGAAACCCTAATTGTGTCTTCAAAAAGAAGCAATGATGAGTCTTTCTTTGTCCTGGTCACCAGATATTTTGACTGATCTTTTTTTCCTTTCATGCATAATCTTTGTGATCCTTCTATTAACCTGTTTCAACTCATACTCCTACATAATTTGTCTCATTATCATCATCAGCTTACCTATTTGGAAATCTTTCTACGTAATCTTCGCTTACTGCTGAGATAACCAATTAGGTTCCTCCATTTTATTAAAAACCACCTTTCCAGTCGAAATACCGAAATCTGATTGATAATTTAAGGGGTTAATAAGATGCCTCTTAATTTCACTACTACTATTCTTATTATCTTTTCGAATTCTCTGTTCAATCATATATATAACTGAGACTTCAGACTACATATTGTCAAATTTACCAGAATGCTTGCAATCAACGCAACACCATACTGACCCTGGTAACTAATGTCATTTAATTGCAGAACGTGTGTTCGAATTCTTTTGAGATATGAGATTTAAATATTTTAATTTGTAAACCGCTGATGAGAAACTAAGAAAATAAAATCCAATCATCAGTTTTTTCTCGATTAAAGTTCATGAAGAGGCATACATGTATGGAAGTGAGAAAATTAACGGAAGTTCATTTTGTTTCGAGAGCTGAATTCATCAAGGAAGATTTAATGTGATAACAAATTGCTTTTGAACACACTTCCTCATAACTATGGCCTCAACACGTTTGACGATCCATCTCCAATACACTTTATAAATAGGTGTAAATGAAGTAGAAAACTAAATCATATGATCACTATCAATGACACATTTCGCAATCGAACAGTTTGGATTTATGATACTAAAGTTTATTGTTTCAGGTGACTCGATTCGATTTTGAAGCTACTTTAGAATTTTCTCCAAGTCCTTTACTTGCATGGATCTATGGGTCCTACCTTTGTGTGTATGCGTGTCGCCAAACGTACTTTTGAACTGATCGATATAATAGGATGTGACATTATTGTTCACATGTAGTAGAGTCTTAGAAGAAAGAGAATATGGGTTGCACAGTAAGTCTTTCTAATAACAACATGAAGTCTCTGCCTAATGACAAAGATGTCTTTCTTTGGGACAAGATGAAAGGCAGATTTCACCACTCTAGCCATTATTTATTGACTAATAAATTTTGGCGGTACTAATTTTCCAGTAATGTCTCTGTCAACACTCTTGTCTCAACTTCCAAGTAACCGTCTGTTCATATTCGTAGAATTTCATCGAATAAGCACTTGGCTAACACCCGCTTGAACTGGAAAATACTATGATAGTTCATATATTTCCCTGTCCATTTATGCTTTCTGTAGACAGATCGTTTTACAGATATATCCCACAATCGACTAACTGTTATGTCTAGAAATTTCAAGCAATTAGCTTACCCTCCCACACATGTCAATGATATGCTCTTCTGAGATTCATTGAGTTGGTTTAGAATAGAATTTGAGTGACTTGAACTATCACATAATGAAGATATCATCGTCATCATATTTTCTATACAAATTGGCTTTATCAGTTTGGTACTCGGCTAAGTCTTTTGCACGCGACATAAATATATCTGTTAAAAGTAGGACCAATAGACTACTCATTGTAATACCATCAGTGTGACGGAAGTGTTCACCTTTGAATATAAATTTGACGTTAGTTGTACATAAAAGTAGTAGCTCTTTCAATTGGTGCACAGAGATATTGGAAAATTATACATGTAGATATAATCAAATAAAATATCTCTTTTCATAATAGTACCGTCAACAGAAATAATTTGTTTCTTGTGCATCTTCATTCTATCCATAAATCTAGATGTCAACCTTCCAAACCACTACCTGAAGGAACTCCCAAGATGAACGTTCAACTTTAACTTTAAATGACAAAATTTACAGCCAAATTAATAGTATAGCAATGGGATCGCCTCTTGAACCTCTCCTTGATTTTTGCTTTATGGCTAACATTCAGAATAGTTTATTGTTTCTGATAATCGATCAACTTCGTACATATTAAAGATACATGGATGATACCTACGTTGGTTGTAATTTCAACTTGAACTTGACATGGTTTCGTCACAGTTTCAATGAAAGCCACCATACAGTCAAATTCACACTGGAAGCTAAATCAAACTCGAGGTTTCATTTTCTTGAAGTTAAACTCCAAAGGAGGCCTGATAATTCCATTCTAATGTCCACCTACATGGAGCCCTTTTGGGATGGTGATTTGCCAACTTTGAAAGTTGGGTGCCTTTAGGTAGCGAAATGAATCTTCTATGCTCACTCAGATCAAGAATGCGGACGATATGCAGTGATGATACGCTTTTTCAAGAATTAGAAACTTTTCGAGAAAAACTGTTGGGAAATGGCTGTCCATCCAGATTCATATAAAAAAAAATATCAAAGGAAAGATGACTGCAGAACAGTTTAAATCAGCTCAGAATGAAATACTTTTAATAAAATTTAGATTCAAAGATATTGCTGTGGATATTCCTCGTCAATGCTTGTCAAAGTCCCTTGATGAGACTTCCTTGCTACACACCTCTGTATTATCTCATGCCAGCAGCAGATTCATCAGTGCATGAAAGACAAGCCGACAAACAGGGCCTCATCAGTGTGTATTTACAAATTCACTTGCTCCTATGTAGCTGAGTACATAGGCCTTATAGATTCTGGATATCTGGCTACTTTGGAAACTTCATTCAAGTTTCTTTCCAAAGAATGATTAAACCGTTGGCAAAAAGTAAGGATTGGATACAGAAGAAGCTTCTGCAGTTCACATCTTCAACCCTCAAATGTGCAATCTAAAGAAACACATTCATACGCTTTCTTCGCCAAGGTCTTAAATATAAACTCTGCACCTCTGTTTATGTTATATTTGTGTTTTGTTTATCAGATACAAAATCTTACAGTTCAGATCCTTTTTCTTCTACTAAATTAAACCACTCCTTGGATTGCGTAATATTACTTCATTCCCCCTCTCTATCGACCGAATAACTTTGACCGTCAAACTGTCCTGACCATTCTGTCATTTTATTGATATATTTACGAGTGTACAGCTATGAAAATGAGTCGGCGAAAAGATAATCATCTTCGTTGTAGCCTCTTTTTGCTTTTCGATGACAAATTCTCATTTATCGTAACCAAAGGGACACTAATGAGCAAGAAGTTTACGTCAAAGTAAAAACTTTTACTTTTCATGTCACTATAAAGGCATCTGATTACTTCAAATGTGTCTCCTATAATGTCTCCTTATAAAATTGTCTACTGATCTTAATCCAACTGGCTACTGAGTAAAGGTGTGTCAGAGATTTACACTCTGACACTATAGGATACAAATGATTGTTGGATTTGGACAAGTCATAAAGATGAAGAACAAAATCCTAACATTTTCGGCAGTCTAGACAAGCTTACAAAACATTTCATTTTGAAATACACTGCGTTAATTAACAAATTTGGATGGAAAATTTAACTTCAATGTACTTTTGAGTGAAGTGAGCTTAAAGACCACTCTAGCAATCACTAAAATAACCAGTAGGATTTTCACTATGTACTTTGAAAAAAGAAATGAAAGTACTGTTATTAGAAAGACTTACTGTGCAACCCATATTCTCTTTCTTCTAAGACTCTACTACATGTGAACAATAATGTCACATCCTATTATATCGATCAGTTCAAAAGTACGTTTGGCGACACGCATACACACAAAGGTAGGACCCATAGATCCATGCAAGTAAAGGACTTGGAGAAAATTCTAAAGTAACTTCAAAATCGAATCGAGTCACCTGAAACAATAAACTTTAGTATCAGAAATCCAAACTGTTCGATTGCGAAATGTGTCATTGATAGTGATCATATGATTTAGTTTTCTACTTCATTTACACCTATTTATAAAGTGTATTGGAGATGGATCGTCAAACGTGTTGAGGCCATAGTTATGAGGAAGTGTGTTCAAAAGCAATTTGTTATCACATTAAATCTTCCTTGATGAATTCAGCTCTCGAAACAAAATCAATCTAAGACTATTTTAGTTCAATTGACCTCTTTTCACATTCTCATGTCTTCACACTCTTTCAAATAAAGACCTATTACGAATGTGTATGCGGCTGTATTTTTAGAAATGAGTCGTACGAATACAATGCACGATTTAGACAAATTATATCGTCGTATTATCTTGTTGAACTTCATAAAGGGAATTGATATTTTTATATATTATGATAGACAAATTCTGTTTGAGGGATATGAGTTGATAAAGCAGAAAGGGATGAATTAGCAAAAAATCTCAAGCCTTAATAACAATTAGTTTCCACTGAACCATACTTGACTACCTCAGCTCAGTCAACTATTTATCAGTCAAATTCATGAATACGGAATTGAATTCCAATGAGATCATCAGCAGACGGAGACAAGTATATCCAAATTATGAACCAGAAAGATAGTAAAACGCTTATGATGGACTTCGCTGATGAATAATATGAAGAAAACATCTTAAACAGTATTGAAGCTTAAGCCAAAGGAACAGGTAAGTCAGAACCACCCACAAAATTGACAAGGGATAACAGGAAAAAATGATTTTTAAAATGACTGTATTCTAAAATTACTTCACTAAATATATATTTTTTATTCATTTATATGACACATCAATGTCACAAATGGAAATCTAATCTCTTTCTCAATTGTTCAAATCTAGTGAGCAACAATAAACGCATCCCTTCTCTTTCAGAATATACCCAAAATAAATTTAAGTTCCAGTTTTAGTTATGCAATTTAAGAAATGAAAAGAAGCCATCCGGCCTTTTCTTGTATGAATTCTCCTTGATAACAGTATTTATCCATTTGGTGAAATAAGAGACACGTGTAAAGATAGCAGGATAGTCAGCGGGCATTTTCGAATGTGTTGCTGACACTATGCCGGCTAACTTCAATTCCCCGCTCGAATCTTCACAAACCAATGGTCCACCACTATCTCCCTATTTTTCGATGGAATGGAAGAAAATTCATAAATAGTATTTGATATACAGAAGAAATTAGTTCATTTTTACCATTTGAAACATATGATTTGATAATAGATTGAGTTATAAGAGAGATTTCTCGCTTTTAGTCCTAGTCAGTATGTATACCGAGATACCTCTTTAAGACAAATCTTTAACTATCACAATACCAATATATACCTTTCCTACAAACTGTACTTCATCCAACGACGTATTCAATAGGATATCATGTTCATCTTCATTAACTTTAAATTGGATCCTGAAGTGTAAAACTTGCACTTGTATCCCACTAGACATAATAAACACCGAGTATCAAAACTTCTGATATACGTTTGTTGACCCCACAGACTTAGTAGTTTTGAATATCGGTGAGATTGTTGATTATACTAAAAAAGTACCAACTTCATGCTGTTGTGAGTTGCTAATGTTCAACAATAATGTGGTACAGTTGACTAGTTATAAAGTGATATCCTGGAAACCTAATGTTCAAATGTATTTATGTCATGGACCAAAATATCATAACACATTTGAATAACTTTAAATCTTGTTTCCTTCAAACAAATTAAGTTTTCAGTAGCTGGTTCTTTATACCCATAACTTAGATAGCATCTTCTACCTCAGCTTCCATTCTCTTCAAGTCTTAAGGCTGACTGTCGACTCAAATTTTCTGGTCAATTTCAACCCATTTCAGTCACAGTTCTTTGTACATTACGAATTTTATCATGAGTTACGTGTCATAAAATCGCCTGTATTTAGAGCTATTGATAATTACTCTTATCAAAACAAACTCTGATTATATCTGAGGTTGAAAAGTAGTGAAGTTCAAACTCCTTTGGATGTTGTATCCCTTCTCTTGCGATAATGCTAGGAATAGGATCGTGGCTGCGTCTACTCACTTAGTTTCATTTGGACAGTGCTTGTAAACCAAAGAAAAAATTTGAGATATTGATCAGTTTGGTAGTCGAAAAACGTGATTTTTCTTCTTGCTAAGTTCATGTTGCTAGAAGAAGTGGACAGTGATCTTTTCAAGTCAGGATATCATTTTCAATCTTGTAATTACTGACCAGCCTAAGATTGAATTGATTTAAGAGCTAATCCGTTATTCGCATTATCAAGAAAATGGTAATTAGAAGCCTAGGTTCAATAGTTCATTTGAATATACCAATTTTTAGAAGACAAGTAGAAAGCCTTCCCAAATACCCCTGTTTAAAGAAAATTAGACTACATACCTTATATACACACTTTAACATTTTTTTTATATCTTATCAAATTTCAATAACATACAATGCCTCACGTTCAGTAGGTGGATAAATATGGTGTCAGTAAATTATAGCTTGTTGACATTTGTTCATCTACCCTAAATGAACCTCAGATAATCTAATATATATTATGTTTTCAAGTACAAAGTGAACATCCATGGATTTGTGCCAAAATGAAGATTAAAATAGTATTCTTAAGTAACTGAATGAAAACAGCTTTGACTCACCGATCTATGCATGTGACTTTCAACCAGTAGGTTGCGAGCTTGAACTCACTTTCACTTATCTGTATTTCATCTTCCGTCTGGTATCATTATCCTTCAAATATGAAGTGAACTTCAGCCTACTATATGCATTTATACGCGCTTACTAGTCTGAATAGATTAGAGGTAAAATCTCTAACTTCATCTCTGAGTGAAGCAGATTTGAATTATTGAGGAAACATCTATTTTCGTATGGCTGCACATAAACATTACTGATGAGTGACAACCAACAAGAAAACTAGGTCCAAGGTTTCATATTAATTAACTCCAAACGACTAGCAACAAAATATAGGACACTGTAATGTCATGTCGCTTCGCTTAATGGTTAAAATGCAAGCTTCATTAGTGGGTTTGGTTTGTGCTAGGCACTAAGGACATGAGAAGTACATCGAATATCCACTGATAACCAATTTCCGCACTACATTAACGATTATTAGTAAAGTATTATGTTCATAGGAAGCAACACAAAGTGAATAATATCATGTTGAGTCATAGATCTTTTTCATATTCTCCATTTTGTTTGTACATTCTGTTTGTCATGAACACACAAAGACAAGTGGATACACTGACGTGAAACCCTGTACTGAAGTGGATGTGTTCAGATTACTACATTTCACAATGGCATAAACACTTTGCCTTTAATCAAACTGGAAATTCAGAATAAAACTAAAATCTGTTTCAAAAGCTTATCTATGGCTAAAAATAGCGTTTACTCGACACTGGAGCATTCTCTACTCAAAGATCAATCTGAGCAAATGTACTAACATTGTGTTGGTAATTATTTTCAAATTGACTTGGAAAGTAAATTTCTCTTGAATACTAACACTGAATTAGCTTATGAAACTTGAATCTTACTGGCTAGGTAGACATGCATAGTAGATAACTAGTTAATTTCAGTTGTTCGAATTTTCTGCAATGAACATCAGTCTTCTGGTCACTTGATGTTTTTTGGCTAAATTGTTTTCATCATTCAGTAAGTAAATTAAACAAATAGACCATTTATGACAAATATACATTCAGTGAAAATTGGTAGGAACAATGAAATGCAGGTACTCACTGGAAATTTTTTAAGTGTTTATGTCTTGTGGAATTACCCCAAAGATGACGACCAGAATGTGACTTTATCTGGTTATTAAGGTAATTATTCTGTTAAGCACTATTAAGCAATTTCTACTATCTGTTTGTCAAATAAGATTTATATTTTATGTGACTTTATGAAGCAGAATATACATGTGAAGTAGAGAGAACAAATTAACTCAATCAATTAACTTACCGGACATACACCTTTTCCAAAGTTATGATAACCTGCACAAAATTCATGTTCTGTTGTTAAGTTTATATAAGCCAAATACATCAACTTGCAGATTTTCGGTTGTAATATTGGAAGTTCAACAGCTTGAATTTTTAATGTGGGTGGTCCATCGACAAAACTACATCCCCAACCAACAGCTGTACACTTCTAAAGAATTCCGATAAGAAAAGAATTACATAAGATTTAGTAGGTTTAGGTATAAGTTATATGTATATAAACCTTAGGGTGCATAAAATGAATAACTCCAACGTTTCGCATAGAAGTCTTTTCCGATCATCCTCAGAGAAATAATCGAAAACCATATTATCATATAGACATGTAACAGGTCAAAACTGTGCATCTCATTGTCTAATCCTGCCTAGAGTATAATTGTTTCGTATTTGTGGAAGACTTACAAGACAATTGGATCCGAGCACTAATATACTCATTGAAACATCCCATGAATGAAAGGAATTTTCTAAGAAATTTGCTTACGAAGACTGAATTGAATTGGTGAATATCTTTTAATCAAAAACGCGAAGTTCAGCAACGATATCTTTTTGACAATTTCATTCTGTAATCATGTACAATTACAATTTTATACGTTTTATTCCACTGTATTAGATAGCTGATTCAATAAAGATTGTATTTTTTCAATTTATATTTAAAAAAATCACAATTGTGATGTAAGGTGAAGATTCATACCAAAAGAGGATAGAAACTAAGATAACTTTCAGATACATAAGTTAAATAGGTGTTTCTGCAACCTACATGCCATGAAAGTTTAATGTTCTCAGAGATTCAAGCCTACATAGATGATGGACTTTGGTTGGTGATGAGGTTTTTGTCTGGCATAGACAGACTGTTGATCCACTTTCGACTAATAGGCAGAAATGATTGTTTATTGCGTTAATAAATATCTCATACTTTGTGTAACTGTGTTAGGCATGCTAAAGCCACTGTAATTTTCAATGGATTTGAAGTTAGTAGTTTTCCAGAAATAACTTCTGAATGAAGATTTTATATGTCATCATCATATAACTTACAAAGAGTTTATAGTGTAATTGGTTAAAGTGAAAGTAAATAGCATTTTCCACGGTTTCTAAGTAAACCAATTCGTCAACAATAGTAACGAACGAATAATGCAAATCACGCTGAATCAAATAAGGTCAACAAAAAAGTTTTCATGTATATATTCCTATTTACGAACTGCAATAGAGAAAGAATAAGGACTGAAGTACAAAAATATGGTGCCACTTTATTTCCCTGGTTTCTCACCAGAAGTTTACAATTTAAAACATTTAAACATCACATTGTTTTTGAACAAATAAAGGTGGCTTAAACCTGCTAATGGCTAATTGCCTTCACAAGCTTCAAAGTATATCCCAAACTGGTCTCACGGAAAGGCTTAAATGATGTTTGCGCACCCATTTTATGCTCCTTTTTAATAATGCTTTCAGTTTTTGAGAAGCTTGGACATTTGTCTCCAGTATCAATTAAGTCATTCGTTTCTGAAGCCACTTTAGAATATGTTATATGGGCCTTTATTTCCAATTACTGACGAGTCCTCCCTAATTATGTATGACTATACGTGCATTTAAACTGATAAATACAACGGGATGTCTCGCAGAGCCTTTTCAATGCTCAGCAGGTCTTCTTCCAATCGATAACCTGAACATATCCTTCTAGCTCTATAAAACAGTCTTTAGATTAATCCTCGTTTAAAATTGATTGAAAGAGAGCTCTTGAAATTTAGGTATAGTTCGTTCGTTGTATTCTTTCGATGAAAAGACCTTTGGAGAGTACCATGATTACTACTTTGCAAGATTACGTCTAAAAGGCTAAACTTATTATTACTTTCATTTTCCATGGTGAAATCAATACTTTCATGAGGATTGTTAAAGCGTTTGAGTAAGTAGGTTGCATGACGTAGGTCAGTGCACACTATAAACTTATGTAGAATATAGCATTGCTTCTTCATTTATATGTTTAAGTGTTGCCTTTTCAAGGTTAGCCATAAAGACATCTCATAACACTGATTCCAACATACTGCCGATCTCTTCTCCACCAGTTAGGCGGTAAAATGTCATGCGCATTAATAGAAATAATCTGAATTTTGAAATCAGCAGAAGGAAGTCGACAGTCAACAGTTTCATGAACAGAAATCTTCGTGAACAAAGAAAGTACATCAAATGTTGACATATAAGTCCTAACTTTTCTGTAAGCCAGTGAGCATCCTTGTGATGAGATGAATTACTCATGAATAGTATCGGTCTCAGAGAAATATTCTACTTGTATGTCTTTGGCAGACCATACATGTAAACCGTATGAGACCATTGGAGTTTCAGATCACTGTATATTGAGTTATCAATCAGTTTTTTTGACAGCTTTCTGAGTATAGTTGCGGTCAGCCTTTCAATATAATTAATTTTCTCTTTACTGCAGTTTCCTTCTTTGAATCTCAAGGGGTTGTTGAGAGTGGACTTTATCTTCATGTTTTTATCTTCCTTGTTCATCAGCCAAACATCTGAACCTTTATCTGGTCGTAGCATCACTATGCTATCATTTTTTGAGGTTTTCTAGTGTTATACGATGCTTTTTGGATATAGTTTTCGATGGCGGGTTTGATAAAATAAGGTGTTGTTTTGTGATATCTGCCAATTTAGATTTGAGGTGGACATTTTCGTTATCGTTTACCATATGTAAACCTATCAGTTGTCTATCTGGACTACCGAAATTATATTTTTGTATGAATCCTTCCGGTAACTTTACCTGCCACATGAAACTTAAATCCTAAAGAAAAGGCTTCAGCCTTGATAAGATTTAATTTTACACTTGATAAGTGGAAGAATTACTTCGGAACATTTTCTGGAAAGCCGTCAATCAATTTCCTTTTAATCAAGGTCACTGGTAGGGTATTATAAAATTTGTTGAATGTTTTACGCTGCAGATCTTGAATAAAACTGATCAATTTTATCCGGAACAAACCTTCAACCAGTTCCTCAAATGTGTTATACTCCGTTTTAAAATTGGCACTAAACACTTTTATTGATTTGATATGAGATTTTGTGATTTGTCGAAGGTTTCAGAGAGAAGGTAATTTAAACAAACGAAATGACTTGATTAGTTGATTAGGAAACCAAGTTAAGCTTAGGTGTTCATCGTAAAACTTAAGTCAAGTTATTTTTCTGGACATTCTTCAACGCATTGTTACCAAGCGATTCAGTGACTTAAACAGTTTGGCAAGGAGACGTTTCTTCGACAATTTCATACTCACATATTTCCCTTTATGAACTTGAATAGAAAAAAAAAACAGAAATTGGAGTAGAATAACATGGTATCATTTTGTTTCCCCGGTTTCTCATCAGCCACCTACGACCGAAAAACATAAATATCATATTGCAAAAGAATTTGAACATACTTTTTTGCAGTTACATGAAGCTAGTTAACAGTGAACTATATGATTTAATAAAGAATACAAGAGCTTTCTAAAAAAATGTATGTTCTCCCCACTGGTGCTTACGAATACGCCGTAAAACTTAGTTAAAAGCACCTAAGTTGATTCTAGGTATGACAAGTTCGCTCAAGCAGCTAGCCGGAATTCGGGTGGTTTGAATGATTCGGCTTTCTAAGTTGAATTAATTCCGCTAAACCATTGACTGGCTCAGCCTCAAACGAGAGAAACGCCCATCTGGTCTTTATGAGCACTACTGATCAGTGTCAGTGGTCTACAACTACTATTGTCAGTCAGTAGTATATTAAGTTTAATCAAAAACAGCTTCGTGACCATTAATTCAAACAATTTAGCAACATATACTGTCCACTGAGTTGACAACTGACACAAAAAGATGGTCACATTTATAAATTGGTTGGTAGAACATGTTTATTAATAAGGACTCGACATCATAATAGTGGTTATCAGTCGATGAATAATTATTAGGACTTGCCAACCAACATAGCTGCCTAATGCAATGTTTGTAGTCATATGTTTCAGCTCATTATACAAGGAATAATAATCACGCTTATCATCAAAGTTAGATCTCTATTAATTTCACTTATAATATATGAAAATATTTCTGGATTCTCCAAAGTATAGTAGGATTATATTTCTCTAAAATTATCTATTTATCAGCGAGCAGCATAATCACCGTTATCGGTGCCCACTGTCTTCTACTTAAAACAGACATTCATCTTCATTACTTCTTTAAGTGAATAGATATCAGACCTCAACTACAAAGTTATCGATTTAGAATTTAATATATTTACGAAAGTGATATCTTTGTCACTGAAATATTTACTACCAGGAATTTAAAAAAGGTAGTAGATCAGAGATGTCCACTAAACAAGATACACTATCCCCTTTCATACAGTACCATACTTTTTGGTAATATTTTAACTGAACTGATTTGAATCGTGTCATAATTGTGACTATTTAAGTAGCTACTGCATTGACAGTATATTGTTTCGTTGGTCGTTTCCAAAGGAAAAGCTTACCAGGATGATCAGTCTGTCTTTGAGTTAAAGTAGAAGTATCAAACTATTGATCAGCAGTCGTTAGACGAAGGTTGTCGCATTGCATAGTTTGATCGCCTTCAAATTACTGAATAAACTCATCATTAAATTGGTTACTCTCCAGTAACCAATCAGTGTATTTAATCCAGTCATACAGGAGATCATGTATTGCCTGAATGTCTCTAATTGCAGCACTGGCTGAGTCTCTTACAGGAAGCACCAATTCCCCTCACGGTTGTAGTTAGGCCTTACGGTTAGGTGAAAAAGGGTGAAACTTAGGTTCAGAGCATCCTATCGACTGCTTCCAACTAATACAAAACTAATCACTGATTATAAATTCTGAAGACAGGTTTCACCATAAGTGAAAATCAGCTAGAAAAAGTATGAATTAATCAGCGATTGACTTCTTTGATACTACAAAAAAGAAAATGTACCTCATTTACTTTTTACCGCAGTAAATTCAGGACTTTTGCATCTTGTAGTGAAAACATAATCATCTAAACATTGCATTCAATTCTAACAATCCACATCCTCCAAACTGAATCAATTTAACAGTTAAGCCACTGAGTCATCCTTCGCTGGAATGAAATGTCTGTTCAGTTTTCACTAATTTCAAATGATTTACAACTAATACCATATAGCATCGTCGAAATTATCTTCTAAGCAAGTTATACGTTTCATACTTTATGTGTTTGCAGATTTTCAACTTATTATTATCATTTATCCCTTTGGTTCCTAGTGGAAAATAGGGATTCAGTAGCACGCCTCCATTCCACTCTCTGCTCTCCAGTCCTCCTAACCTACCTACACCACTCCCCACAACCCTCAATTCATTCATCACACCATCTCCTCCATGTCACCCTCAACTCGGACAACCAACTCGTCGATTCCCCTTTACATTCCACTCGACAGACTGGCCTGGAGTGTGATGTACCCATATCAGCCTCATCAGTGTATGCCCAATCCAATCCAATCCAATCCATCTCCACTTTCTTCTTCTGCATATTTGTTGTGCTATGAGTTCTTGGTTGGTTCGTTGCCCACCAGCCAGCCAGCCACAATTCCTCCTTACTTATTCTTATTATTCTCACCATCCATTTGATCTTCAGTATCGAGTAAGCGTAGGCGTGGGTGGCAGCTGTTCATGAATGTCTGTAGTTTGTTGGAAATGCTTTTCGTGGCACGCCAAATCTCTCAACCATACAGTAGCATTGACTCGACATTGGTGTTGAAAATCCGGATCTTGTTCAAGCTTTATGCTGAGTAGAGTGGAGTGGAGTGGAGTGCAGTAGATCTCCACACTGATTTCAGGTTAATGAAGGCCTGTCTTGCTGTATTTCCGATCCTTGCTTTGACGTCTTTATTTCTGCTACCCCCAGTAGATGAAACCATTCTGCCTAGCTACCTAGGTGGGTAGGTGAAATAGACTACTTCCTTTACATTTCTCCCCTTAATGGTGATTGGTGCTTGTTGATGTGATGTTTTTGTTGTCGTTGGTTGAGTATCTTCATCACCTCTGTCCTCTCCACATTCACTTGAAGTCCCGTCTTCCTTCGCTGCCTCGCCACTTCTGCCAACTTGTTGGTTTTCGCATGTACACCTTCCAGTTTGTGCGACCAGACATCAGACATGAATCATCATCGTGGGCGAAACTCAAATCTACTAGGCTCTTTTCATCAGCCAACACAGCGTATGCCCCTGTTCTCGCTCCTCACACCTGTCTGTTGCATCATCCAGTCTAGTCCTGTCCAGTTCAGTTTACCGGAATCAGGAAGATCATGGGTGATGGTAGACAACCTTGTCTTAATCCTTCCTGTCTTCACTTCAGAGGAATCACTGAGCTGAGCTTTCCATTGTGAATCGCTTGGCATGTAGCGTCGTCATATTGCTGTCGAATGAGGTTGATAAGGGTTTGTGGCACTAAAACCGTAGTGTTTAAGCAAGCAGCTGCCTTCCAAATTACTTCTCAGTCGACGCTATCGAAGTAAGGCGTTTTCAATGTGGATGAAGTTGAGATTGAGTTGACTGGCATTCTATGCTCTATTCTGTGTTGATGCGTAGCGTAGGGTTGCGTTGCAATTTGATCTGTACATGATTTCTTCTTCCTGAATCCATCCATTCATCCAGCCAGCCAGCCAGTTCCGGTCGTAATTTTGAATCCAGTGCATTTTTCAGTCTCTCCAGGATGATGCGGCATAATATTTTGCTTGGGGTGGACAGGGACACCCACATGACTCTTTACCACCTCTTGCAAAAACTTACTTAAATCTCCCTTCTTTGGGAAATTGACAGGGTAGCCCTTCTTCCAATCAGTGTGCAGGTACCTTTCCTTCCCCCCCCTTCCAAACATTCTGCAATAGTGGTGTGAGTATGTCTGCTGTTGTCTCTGCGTCTGTTTCCAGTGCTTCTGCGTCTATCTCTGCCCTTCCAGATAGTAACCTGGTTTTTGATATAATGTTGTCAAGTCTCTGTCTCTCCTACCAGCCCTCAGCCTGTTCTGCTTCACTTGCCAGTGTGTCGTAGAAGTGTCTTCTGTCTTTGAAAAATCTATTGTATAAAAATGCGTTTAACGAAAGCAATAAGAAGTTAAAACTTTTTTCACTAGAAGTTGACATAAATTCTTCAAGATAACTAGAAATCAGCAATTCGTTCGCTACTATGAAAAGTATATTTCTGCTGCAAAATTTTCAGCTAAGAGAAATAGTAAGCTATTTTACAAATGGAGATTTTGACAACATTGTCGAATTTTGTCACTAGTGCGAAGTTAAAGTGTAGTGTAACCATTTCTAGCGAGGAATTAGGTTTAAATTTCTTTTCTGTAAATCCTGTCAATAACGCATAGAATCATACTGAATTTTGAAGAAACAGGAGAATATTTTGTAAATAAGGGACTATTGAGAAGAAAGTGAGTCTATTACTCAGATGGATACATAAGTTCTTACAAACTCTAATATGGCATTTTAACTGCATTGTGACTAAGCATTTTATACTAAGCTAAAATATACTTATCAGTAAAATCGAATTTCATTTCGGAGGTTTGTGGAGATTAGTGGATTTCCAGGAAGTATTGATCATGGTATTATATCAATTTAAGAACCATTGAAAAACTGAGAGCACTGAATAGCTGTTTCATCTTAGTGCGATACTCCTCAGCAATGCGTGCGCATGCTGCCGCCAAAGTGCAAACCTAGGAACCTTACGTTTCGTGGAGAGCACGTTGTTATTCAGCCACTCGATGGCAATCCAATGGTCCACATTTTCCTACTTCTATCACTTCAAGATATAGAGTGACCTTCATCCAACGCCATCGGCGCGTATTTGTTTTCAAACCTGACCTGGATGACACCGTAGGACGTGGATGCGCACTACCGAGAATTCCTGTACTAAGACATAACAGTTGTCTAGTGCTCCCAAGTTTTCAGTGGTCCTTCAAATGATATCATTTCGTGATAAGTACTACATTTAAATTCAATTAGTCATTTATGATGTTTTGAAAAACTAAATTACTTCTGAAGTGTTTAAAGTGTATACTAGAGGTCTTACCTTTGCTTATTCTCCAAAGGCACACAACATCATGAGGTACTAAAAACTTAAATAGAAAGTATTTAAAACCGTTTCCGAGTGATGAGATAAAACTAGACTTCAATCCAGCAGTACTGTAAGATACTGATATATTTCATGAGAAACTTCCTACCAATACTTACCATCATAACTTGTCATATCATATGAAGATAGTAGCTGTAAATGTTGATGACAATGCTTTGTGTACTGATTATACACAAGTAACTGAACAGGTCATTGTTGACATATATTTTGTGATATTCTTTTGAATTGTTTTGCATAAAAAGTCAGTCGGAGGATATACTGTTTAAATATATTAAATTATTTCTATTGCTTAAAATCATGAACGATCTTCAGTTTTTTGAGCCTACAGATTTTTGGGGGCCCCTTCCTATATTACTTCACATTGTCGGTCGAAAATTCTAACAATTTTTTTTAGTTTGCAAACAAATATTCATCAAGCATCAAGTGACACCCATGAAATGCTTATTCTTACTGTTAGGAGTTTTCTGAATGGGTTTTAGGGGAAATTTACTGAATCAGCACAAAAGCTCGTTTAAATATCTTTCAGTTATACTATAATAGTTTTATATAGATGTATATGAGTGTCCCACTGCATATAGTCAGAATTCTATCGGTTCCTGAACTGTAGCATGATACTGTAGCATTAGATTATTAAACGATTTATTTCACAGCTTTATACCAAAACATCCTTTAAGTGGTTATCAAAATATTTCCAGTATAGGTGAGATACTCAATATATCCATTGAAGTTGTGTGAAGTTAAGTCAGTGTTTACTGTATGATGAAGTGAGAAGTTAGTTTGAATGATTACGTCGTATCGATTTTGAAAGTCATTCCATCGGTAATAAATCAGAGTTATCATGCATCAAATTTGTCCACTTTTCATCTTGCAAGAAGATCATTTATCACTTCAAACAGTTATAGTTACCTGGTTAGATTTTGGCCATTCTTCTCCGATATCGTCAACAGGCAATTCTATTAAATCCAGATGGTTGATTTTCCACAGTACTGGTGTTTCTTTGAGCTTAAATAAGGCAATATCATATTCTAGGTTTCCTGTATATGAGAAAAGATAATGAGATACTGACCATTCGAAACATTTTGAGTAAAATCTCCATTACTTATAGTTGTTTAAAGTAGCTTGTAAAAGTTACAAGATATCTAAAACATTCAAGAGTCACTTTAGCTTATGGGTTATTGGAATGACAATTATCAGTTCAGGTTCCTACTTTAAATATTTTTAGCTACAGTATGAGGTTGGATTTGAAGAGTTGCAGTAGATAAACATCATTTCAGTTGTATTATATGCAGTAATCAATAAATATTATTTGTCTTCTACGCCTGAATTAAATTTCTACCAATAGTTTAACGAGTGAATAATAAATTTTCCATGCAGATAGCGTTGAACTGTAGCTCAACTATCTGTAGCATTAAGTCCTGCATATAAGGCTATAGAAAACCGTGTCCTAATGGAATTCATCAAATACCTATATGCATCTATCAAATAGCAATGTGGAATAATTTATGATAAGTTAAAATGTTGGTTTTACTATCCATTAATACATTGAATAAATAGCTCAAATTATCTTCTTATGCAAACTGTTTGTAAAGAAACAATCCATTCAAATTCTTATCAAGAATTAAACTCATTTGCCAAACTGCATCATCTTATTTAGAGACTGGGAAACATTATGCTTTCTACAGCTGTTGTGAAAATAGACCAAAAATCTTACTGATAATGGTAATATTTCATTAAAGTGAATATTCACGATCTGAGATGCAATCAAACATCATCCTTCCAATGAGAGCAGAATGTTAAATGACCTCTCAGGAAAATTCGATTTTTCTGCAGTAATAGGATTTTTCATAGTTCTTGAAATCACAGCCTTTCCAGAATTTCATAATTCTAGATAAATATATTTCTTTGTTGAAGGGATATGGCCACAGTCAAATATTCGTACCTAGCCTACATGAATAAGGTGTACCTTATTATTGATTCTCCCACATTTAATTTCTAATTCTCAGAGTCATCAACAACTCAGACATGCATGTATAATTGAGACAGTTACAAAACTAAATAAATGCAAAAACTATTTCAAATATAGAACCTCATAGAAGGTCATATTAGCCCCCAAAAACCCAATGGTAACGCTTGTGACTGAAGCACAGTATGATGTAGTTTAAAATTCCTGAAAGAGCAAGGGTTTTCGTGAGGTTGCTACAGCGTGCTGCCAATGGGTCCTAACAAAATAAAAACCTACATCCGAGACTGCCTGACCAATCCTCCTACACTCCCGACAGTCACTTGACGGTAAATTTCGTCTTAGAAGTATATCATTCATATACACATACATACATACACAAAAAGAACAAATATGTTTCATTCAATGTGACATCTATTCATGTTATTATTACGATAGTTACCACATCTACCCCATATATTTTTTTTGGCAAAATATTATCATTAATCAAATAAACTTGTTTTTCATGTGGAACACATGTTGTTTACAACGGCCACTCACAACCAGTATAAATACAATCGTATTTGCATATTTTATAAATGCATAACAGTTTATGATTAAACAATAGGGTATAATTACATCATTAGTCTAGAGCTAGAGCTGAAAACCGAAATTAGGAATGGAAAGTGGATACCTACTTCTTCTGCATGCAGTGAACACGTTTGAATTGGTGAACTGCTACTGCTTATGCTGTGCACAACTGTCGAAAGCTCACTGTTTTTAAACTGTTCTCCTTGACTCTGTAAATGACACTGAAGGAGGACCCTGGTGGAGCCGTCTGTCCAGAGTTGACCAAATGCTGAAGGAGTGGACTGTTAACTTACATACATTCTATCCTTGACAAGCATGCAGGATAGTGCTCAAGGGTTGACAATTCACCAATTCAAGCCTGATCTCTGGATGTAGAAGTATGTTCAGTCTCTAATCTTACCATGGTTTTAACACTTTCACAATTTTCGATTTGATTATAATTAGTTAGTTTACTATTATCACTCTCATTACGACCCATGTTTCTCTCTTCACCTCCTTTATATCTATTAAGTAGACACAACTTTTGCATTTTACATCTACCAACAATTTTTGCCTCATCAAATTCCATGCCTTTCTCATTATTTCCATCGTCTAAAAGATTATTACACAACTACTCTTCATTCTTGATTTCCGTTATTTTAGCCCTAGCTTAATGATGTAATCATTCTATGTTGTTTAATAATAGACTGTTAAGTGTTAGTGATATATACAAGTACTGTTGTACAGCTTCAGAAAACGATATCGTCGAAAAAGAGAATTTTCTTCGCTGAAGTACTTCATACTGTTAAATTAATTATAATTTCGTGATTGTCTGTCAAACTAGAAATTTGATTCTTTCCTTTTAAGGTCAACTGACAAGAAATTCTGATGGTTCTAAGTTTCCAACTTTTGTTCAAATTCAGTGAATGATAACTGTAATCTTAAGGAGACTAATCACTGGAAGATTTCTAACAGCATCACTTATTGCTAAAGTCAGTGTCATCTAATGAATAAAATTAGGGATAGTGTTATCTGCTTGTATTACACCGTCGTTGATTGAACCGAATTGATCAGTCTCTGTTGGTATATGGGCTTCTGTGCGGATGCCTCGATATTGCCTGTGTTTTAATTTTGTATGCTAGCCACTGCCCATCATTACTATACAAAATTAGGGATAGTATAAAAGGTAATACAAATGTTCAGAAAGACAGGACAATGTAAACCGGTGCTTAGATAGGTATTTAGATAGACAGACAAACCTTGGGAAAGGTCAGTAAGGATGTGTAATACTGGAGGATCAAGGCAGTGAATCAATAATGTTTGAATGCAAATATAGTAGTGGTGTGAAAGGGGTGACAAGTTAAAACAAAATGGGGAACACGTTTACATTGTCGTGTCATTATAAACAATCGTATCATCCTTTTTATCACTAACTTTATTAAAATATGTACTTCTCCCCCCTTTTATTTTAATTCTAATTCATAAACCCGAATTCAGTTAACCATGTTTGTATCAAATGACTATGCTGAATAATTTGTAAATGTTATTGTAAAACCTGGTAGGAGTTTACCGAAAATGAGTATTCGCTTCAAACTCTGTTTTCTAATTATTGTCCTTTTCCAGATTTTATCTGTCTGAACACCTGTTTACATTGTCGTCATTCTGAACATTCGCATTATTATTTGATTAGGTTTATTGGCAACACTGTAAAGACGGTCGATAGATGGTGACTAGTTGGTGTAAACTAAAGTGAACTACAGACACTGACATTTCAGAAGCCAAATTTTATTTGCAATTCATGACATCTCCAGTGTGTTTATTAAGCTCTTTCGAAATTTATCGATGTATTTTCAAGTATCGTAAAAAAGCCGTTAATTCTTTAGATATTCGAAGCAAACTTATTTATCTCACTATTATTATTATTTGTCAGTGTTATTCGAGCACAGTTCGGTCCAACAAAGGTGCCATACAGAATAATGATGAGAAATCATGGAGCCTCAGAAAACGGAAGAGAGAAAATAAACAAAAGCGGGTTATATAAAAACCAGTTCCAAAGAAACATGGCTGCCTGTAGATGGATGTAGGTCACAGGTAGTTTTTCGATCAGCTGATGTCTTAAAATTAAGGATTCCTTAAAAGGACTTGTCAAAATGAATGGTTTTTAATTTTTCCTTTGCGTTTAGCCTGTTTTCTTCAATGGATATGCCTTGCTGTGGTAAAAAAGTGGCTTGAACTGCTTGTTATCCGGACATAATGGACTTAATTTCTGGTTTTACTTAAACGTTATGTATTTAAGCAGGGAATGTTGAGTATGTTTAATTAGACAGGTATTTAGTTTTAGGTAAGGTAACAATATCTTTCCAATATTTAATTGCTAATAAGCACTGGAAATTCATCCTTCAAAGCACTTTAACTTCACTTTGTAATTTTGTTTCCTTTTTGACTCCCAGGTGTTTTCTGTTCCAGCAGTAATATAAATATAAATTTTGCCGTATTTTGTGTTATCCTTCTTGAGGTAAATACGTTAACGTGTTGGAAGTGTTTTGCTGACCGCAACATTTTGATGGCAAGTGAAATTGCCGTCATGATGCTGATAGTTTTTTGAAGAACTGTCAGTGGTTGTAAATGTAACTTAACAAAATGATTGCGAGTAATACTTGCGAACTAGTAAAGAGACAATTGCCTACTCTAATAATAATAATAATAATAATAATAATAATAATAATAATAATAATAATAATAACTCTAGGGAACTGTATATGGTGTGACGATTTATTTCAGGATTTTGTCTCTGAAAACACTAACATTCAGATATTGCCCGTAAAGATGGCATGTTTTAGTACAACTCTTTATTCGAAATAAATAAATATTGCTTTTATAAATCCTTTTTTAATAATTGAATAGGTAATCGCGGGTTTTGATACAACGCAAGGATATGAAGCCTGATTTCGAGGATCAGTATGCGTAGCAATAGACGTTTGAACCTAACTTTATTCGTTTGTGTGTATATACATGTATTTTTTCTTGCGTGTATTTGTAAAGAATGTTGCTTTAATGAATAGAAATCTCCAGAAAACTTGCTAATGCTTCTTTAATTGTTATCAAGCTGCATAGGGAAATACTATGGTGCATAAGGACAGATGCCGCACAAGCGAGACAAACGCTGATGTCTTCCGTGTGGTAGCTAGTTTTCACGAGGTGATGACCTCTGAAGGGAAGTAGCTATATAGGTAAGAAACCACACCTTCTGTGTGATGGTTAACTATACTACTTGACTGATCAGACTTCCATTAACGTGCCTGGGAAGTATAACGCACTGGTTGTGCATTGAATGCCTATACCCATTGGTCACGATACAGTAACACAAATCTTCCTATTTCAAACACCATCACTATAACCCATCCACTTTCCGCTTCAATAAACAACAAAGAAGGAATACGTGAAAAATTTATTTAAGCAGTGGAACAATATATACATAGGTAGTTAATAGGTATTCAGCAGTCTGGGAGGTTACTGAAGATTAATCATGTACGTGGCGCTCCTCATGAGATCTACTGTACGTATCTAGCAGCAGTCTGCCTGCTCATTCCGGGTTTGACTGGGCCAGTAATTGCATTTCAATTGATAAAGCGGGTGGCTAGAAAACGGAATTATTGACCTTAGCTAAATACCCTACCTTAGAGGTGTTGTATGTCAAATCCATAACGACAACTTCCGGAAACTTCTTGTATTTTGTTATCATTTTTCGAGTTGCAAAACTAAACATCTTGACTCTGCTATCTCCGTCCGGTAAGCACCACACCAACCCTGTCTCTCGGATTTCTGAAATCAGTGAATCTACATCACGAATTCCTAAACACATGTGAAACACACATTGCCAGGGTATACTAGATCCCGGAAATTTCTTTAGTCAGCGTACGTCATCAGCTTACAGAACTCGACGCCAACCACATCAATAATTTGACTTGGTGGTGCATTACGTTCGATAAGCAGTAGAATCCTCATTCGCTCGTCACCATTAAGTCTGCGAAGACGTGGTTCCACAGACATCAGCAGTTCTGACGATAAGTCGTGGTTGTGTACAGTGTTAACAGGTTCTACAACTTCATAACGCCCAAATTCAGTTTAATTTGGAAGGTGAATGGGCAACCCAAAAACTTAGATCTGTAATGCATATATTATGGCTTCTATTACAGCACTTACTGTGGTTTTCGCTGCTTACTACCTTCTGTCTTTCTCCACCAACCAACATGGCAACGAAAAACAGCATACCGGTACTTATATGCCGGGTCTACATGATTGTTCTCGTCCCTATTCAGATGACAATCACGAATCCTATACAGACTGTTAGTTTCCTTTGGCATTTAATGATGACCTCATTAATTAAACAACCCACATTTTCATGCATGCTTCACACTCTGGCCATGTTTGTAAGTTTCTGTTCATCACAAGTTGTCTGAATTCAGCTACCAAATTTCCTGGTCCAACATTCGATCTGAAGGACATTTTAATGTTGCTTTACAAATGCCGACTGTTACAAAAACGCGTCTGTTCAGCGCAAGAACGTAGCCTCAATGTTTCCAAGATTAGAAAATACCACTTTTTCTTTTATAAGGGCTATATCGCACTGGCCAATCAGGAAACGACAATTAACGCTTTATCTCACTCGCGCGAATTAGGAAATTACGTCCGTCGACTGACACTCAAGAAACATCTGAAGGAGTATACACTAATTTCGTTTTACTCTTCAGAAACAGGAGACAATAAAACTGCAAGGTGGTCACCACTGGTCTCGATTCCGAACCATGTCTGCAATTGTCTCAAGCCACTGACTTGCATGGTCCCTTGGACCCAGTCCGTAAGGTCGTGAGACACTAATAGATGTCAACTTATAGCAACTACATTTTATCCAACGATCTCACATCATACAATATCCACCTGTCCACTTCTCCCAACCAGTCTCACGGTAATCAAACTGTGAGCGGTATGGGAGCTACTGGGACGATATACATAACACATGTCTGAACCATCTCTTCACGTATGTCAAAGTGACACCACTCAATGAATGACAATCACTACCACGTCTAGATACATGCCACCTCACTTCAGAATTACTTGCATGGTGTTTCCGTCAGATGCTAGCAATGTTATGGTGACAACAGCGATCGAACACGCAAAGTGATCAGAAAGCCTTAATTCGAAGACGCTGCCACTCACAAGCAAAAAGCAAAACTGTCCGCACCTTTTACAGACAGACTAACATGCAGACGGTGCCAAGAATGACCCGGTTTGATGTATACCGCTCTCGTTGTTTATATGCGGCTGGAAAGCTCATCATTCACAGAAATATCCAGGTATACAGATATTTCGACGACTTGCAGAGATTCACACCCAAGGGATAACAAGTGGCACATTTTCCTACCAATATTGTAGAAGCACTCTGCAATTTGATGGTACAGATCATATGCTGTACTTATCGACACTTGTCACTAAATGTTTGAGTGTGATATGAGAGGACTGTGTGTAGTCGCACAATAAAACGATGTTGTCCTTTTACTGGAGGGCGAAAATAATTTCACTTGGTAACAGGTATAGTCTATCACCACCACCATGTAATTCTTCCACGACTATCTCCAGAGTTTCAACTGTTATAAAGTTGAAGGAGAATAACGAAATAAAACACACACAGAGGCAGATATAAGCCTTCACTCTACCTGGTGTATTGAAGTAAAGCACTTTCAAGACGTGAACAAAATCCCCATGGATACCCCTCTCTAACAGTATAGCGAATCAAAGGCAGCAACAAATTCAAGTATATAGATTGAAAGTACTAATTTATCATATTCCAAATCTCCTAACAGTTAGATATTAGGAATAGTGAATACCCAATAATATCTGTTGAAAATCTGCTGATGCTGTATGCAAACCTGAAAATATCTCTCGATGTTTTGTTATAATCAAATATTTTTAACCACATCTATGCACTCAGAAACAGACTGCAATTTACTATTCTTTACCCTGGTAACAGTATATAACATTTTGCATTCGCATATATACATAATTTCCCTTTTCTGATCGCACCACCCATTCATTTCTGCTTACTGACTGTTAATCACTCAGCGTAACGTTTTCCCACATAATTACCTAACCCACTAGCTGTTTAACAACCCCTTCGTTTACACTCCCGTTTCTTTGCTAAGCTGAGCTCATTTTATTCCCAAAATGTCCTTTTACCAAAGCAGAATTGTCTAACCCTTGTGTTTGTTTAACGTCCCTTCTTTCGGGTGCTTATAATATTCATCATTTTGGATGCACCACTGATGAACTTAATTCTAATGAATGAATGAATGAAGCTGTCAGGTGGTATTCAAATCACAACTCTCTGACTGACGAGAACTACTGATTACTGCCAGCACTTTCCATATAGTCGAATCAGTCAGTATCATATTTCATGTATACCTTCTTCCAGCCGCTTTCATTTCATATGAGTAAAACTTGGCCACTGTGGTTGATCGTAATTCCATTTTAGTCTGTTTGTTAGGAATATCATACAGTGAAACAGCATTTAGCATTTACTGGATAACCTTCACGACACAATTTATTGTCCATATTCATTTCAGATAACTCCACAACTTCGCGACAGACTTCATATATTCTTAATTTTCTATCCTTATCTGTGATGACAAAGGTAGTAGGATTTCCCATATATCTGGGACAGGTGCAGAATCATTTCGATTGCATATATTTGGTGTTGATTCGATAAACGCAGATTCGGTTATCAAACACTCCCTCCACCCAACTGAGTCAGTTTTCAACACTCACTCCATCCCACCCTACTGTGTGATAGTGTGTCATCGTATGCAGAGCTATAGCCGAACTTTTCTCTAAACTTCTTATCTTATTAGGATCTACTAATCTTGATTTAGCTACGTTTTTGTTCTCTGTTATTCTAATCGATCCTGGTCGACTTTTTTCATCCATGTACTTGACCTCACAATCATTGCAAGGAATCTGGTAAACCAGATTATTTTGCTCATTTGCATCGATAGGATCTTTTAACTTCCAAGGCTTGTTTCCAAACGAGTTTGTTGGTTTGAATGCCACTTTAATCCCAGAGTTATTGAGAATTCTTCGTAATGCTTCTGAGGTGCCTTCCTTGTATGGTAACACACCAGAGGCTTTGAATTCTCTCTTAACCCTGTCATCATTATTACCATTAGTAATGGAATTATTATTACTACCACTGCTAGTTTTCTTTCGACTTCTGAAGAATTTATTAATAAATGTTGGTGGGCAATTATTGAGACGTAGGGTATTCTTGATGTGTCTAATTTCTTGTAGCAGATTTTACGATCTACTACTAAGCTTTTTCGCTCTATCACTTAAGCATTTAACTAGGTCTAGTTTAACTGAAATGGGGTAGGAGGATTCAGAGTCTGAGTACGCGAGTGTTGAGAACTTTGTTGGGTGGAGGGAGTGATTGATAACCGAATCTGCGTTTATCGAATCAACACCAAATATATGCAATCGAAATGATTCTGCACCTGTCCCAGATATATGGAGAATCCTACTGCCTTTGTCATCACAGATAAGGATAGAAAATTAAGAATATATGAAGTCTGTTTCGAAGTTAAGGAGTTATCTGAAATGAATATGGACAATAAATTGTGTCGTGAAGGTTATCCAGTAAATGCTACTGTTTCACTTCTTATAAATAGACTAAAAGGCTTTAAGTTTCTTTTACCAAGGAAACCACAGTTTGCAGCCTAAACACCTCATCTTCAATGCGAATCACCACAGAATCTCACGACTGGATGATATATAAATGTGTTATTTTAACCAGGGGTTGAGAGTCTTGTACAGAATTGATTTGACCATATTCCAGAAGTAGCAGCAATCTATATCGGCTGTTATTTAGTTTGAGGTTTTCGGAGATTGTATTTATTTCCAGGTTGTATTCATCATCGACTGGTAACAGTTGGAGAACCATTGAAAAGCCCATAGCATTCAGCAGCTGTTTCTTCCTAATGTAGGACACCTAAGCAGCACCCACGTACGACCCCACCAGAGATCAAACTCAGTACCTTAAGGTCTCGAGGCGAATGCGTTAACCATTCAGTTACTGGGTCGGAGCTCATTGGTCCAAAGTTCCCCACTTTCGTCAGAATTACCACCCAGTGCTCACTACGGATATAGTTCGAGAAGGATTTCTCGAAATTTTAGTGAGAAACCATCACCTGCGGATTCAATCGATTCACGTGTGAGAACAAATAATCGCCTATGGCACTGAATGACGGTCTCGCTATACTGTAAACTGACAGAAGTAGGAAGCTGTGAAACGATGAATGGATGATTAACTCCTTCCCTTTTTTAATCTTCCTGAGGTGCTCTGAGTATGGAAAGTAACTTTGTTCCGGAGAGTCGAAGCCCAAAAGAAACAAAGAAAGTAACTTACCAGGTTCATATTTTGGATGATGAAATATTTCTTCAACATGATAAAATGTTTGAGGTTTCACGTGTCCAAAAATTGAATTGAACACCCGATTGAAAGCACCCTTGAGGCGTTCTAAGATTCCGGGCTGCAAAAGATATCAAATTAAATCATATTTAAGTAGCATGGGAATACGCGTGTATCTCTATCACTCCACAGAGAAACCCATCTGGGTAAAAGTCTGTCACTCAAATAAATATTAGTGCTGTGTAATTCGCATTCGTTATTCAACCTCTCTGCGGTAAAAGTTAACCAGTTAGAAGACACATCCAATAAATGACGCAGACGGTGCTTCACGGGCTGACCCCTCACACTTCCTGAGGACCATCTTACTAACCTACAAACCGTTTTACGAAGCCTAAAAACCCACAACGTGAAACTAAAACCGTATGAATGCTACATTCGTCAGTACGAAGTCACCTTCTTAGGTGTAGCATCAAGAAGCATGCAGACTCATCCAGAGAAAACGCGCCATACCACTATCGCCGTAAACCCACTCTCCTAAAGGTGATTTTGCAAGCAGCCTGCTTAAAATCTGGGTCGCTGGGAATTCTTCATCCAATTGATTTCATAAAATCCTTCCCCTACTGCCATCATGACTACACTCAATTTCATTATCGTTCACCAGGAGCCTGTTGTGACTTTTCTTATTATTATCAACAATGCAATGATACTGGGAATGGCGAGATTCATACTGTATCACATCTTTTTAGGAACACGACAGTTGCTATTATACGACTATTAGTCTCGTCGGCCTGGCGTCGACTCCTCCACCGGTTAACTGAGACTGGCCGGTTTTTAGAATGCCAGCATGCGCATGACGAAGGGCGTATGTCCAAATCTTACAGCCATCCTCGCCGTTCAGGCCATTCGTCTTGGATCCCGACGCTAAAGCCAACATCAGCGTGGTTATTCCCCAGGTTGCACCGAATGAGCTTAAACAAATGCAGTCATCACTAGACAACAGCCATCCGTAGCATAGAGCCCACGTCCACGCAAGAATATACCAACGTACAACTTCGTTCGCACCCAGTAGTCGACAAAATGCCCGGGTCGCTGAGACAGATTCCAGGTTAACACTAGAGCTCACATAGACCAGACCAGAAATCCACACTTCCATCCCGTGATCGACAACTCCAGTACTTCATCTAATACAGGCCAACTACAAGACTTACGACATACATGAGGCATCCAAACTTAAAACAATTGATAGCCCAGACGACTACCAACCCACCTCCGACAATATCAATAACGCGGAAGTAAAAATAAACCGCAAGCACATTATCAACTCGTGGTGGCCCTAAGAAGGGCCGTGGAAGCGTTCTCACTCCACTTAACTCCACTCAATCTACTTCGAGCCACTGTACTTCGTCACAGCCTTGGTGCCCTCAGACACAGCGTGCTTAGCTAGTTCACCCGGCAACAGCAATCGAACCGCAGTTTGCACCTCACGGCTGGAGATTGTCGACTTCTTGTTGTAGTGAGACAGTCGGCTCGCCTCAGCTGCAATACGCTCGAAAATGTCGTTCACAAACGAGTTCATGATCGACATCGCCTTCGAAGAGATACCAGTGTCCGGATGCACTTGGCGCAGAACTTTGTAGATATAGATAGCATAACTCTCCTTCCTCCTCCTCTTCTTCTTCTTGTCTACCTTCGGCAACTTTGCCTTAGAAGCCTTCTTCGCAGCTTTACCAGACACTACTTTAGGCGGCATCACTAAATAGATGAACGCGTTCAACACGCCCAACTATCCTCTTTTCATTTATATTATCTCCATTCCACTTATTTGTCTCTGATTCCTTTACTAAAACTCATCCCATCCACTTTATCATTGGCCACACTTCTCAAGGCTGTCCTTTGCATTTGACCATGACCTTGTCCTTGCTAATGTTGGCCAATGTCATGGTCTACCACCTCTACTTTACTGGCCAATCAGAAGTAGACAACTGCAGGCACATGAGTTAGTGAGTGTCGGGCGCCTAGTTGCCTATCGTAAACCTTACTTTCAGACTTTTTAATACCTTGATATGTTTAGTTACGTGTAAATGAAATTCAGTTAGATGCAGGTGATGAGGCATACTCAAATTAATTGTTACGATTTTCAGTGGGAAGAAGTAGTACTTCGTATATGCGTTGAATCTGCATTGAAATACTCCTCTGCTATTCTCATAGCTGCAGTTGTATGAGTGAGTTCATGAGTGCCGCCGTGATCATGAAAGTTTTTTGTAATGCAGATTTACCAGTAAATAAACCAGGTTGTGGTCGGCTAAGAGCCAGCAAGTTAAGAACTGCAAGGTTATTTTGTCCTCAGTGGTCCTTCAGTGGTCAACTATGCTCAAAGTGACTTGTGATGATGGTCTGCGTTCTCATGCTTCTAGTGTGATGAATATGGAAATGTATTTAGTCGTGTTGATATTCATAAGTCGAGCTATGTACATTGCCTTAGAATCTACTAGCGGAAACAATATTCATAAGTAGGTGAGAATCTTTTCCACTACATGAATTTAGCCTTAACACAGAATCATCTTTACTGGAGTTGTGAATAAGTTCACGTAGTCGGGGAGGATTGACCAGATTACTGACAATAGTTGTGTAAGTTATCGCTGTGATAATATTATTTGATGCCTTTGTTTTGTAGGTACGATCTTTGAATGAAGTCACTGTGTTTTAACGGGCCAGTGGAAATGGAGTAGGACTCCTGTAACTAAGTGATAACATGTGTTTTAGTACTTCGATTATGTTACAGTCATAGAGAATAAATCATTTGTGTTAATAGTATCTGTATTTTGCTATATTGAGAGTTGAGAGTGTATCAGTTCTGTGTTCAGCTGATGTTCGCTTCCATATGTAACTGGTGCACAGCTGTGACTGTGTGTCATGGGTTCAGGGAGTTGAGTTCAAATGAGGTGGCCGGTTGTTGAGACACCGCTCTATATACCGGAGTTTATGCAGCCAGGTAGTATCATTAGATCTGACAGAACTAGTATGGCTCATTGCCTTGTGCACCGATGTGCAGCAGGTTGCTGATTGCGTTTCAACTTGGATGTTTCTTTCAATTAGGAGAGGACTAGAAAGATACATTGTTTTCTCTTAAGTACAAATCGTATTTTTGTGATACCTGAAGATTTGTTTGGATAGTGTATAAATGCTGAGCGTGGTTAGATGGATTTATGACTGGTCTGTGTTCTATCTTTTGTCTTGGAGAAACCGATGCTACCATTTATGTGAACAGGTTAATCAGTTTCACATGACTGGCGGTGATTGATAGGTTGTATGCGGTATACATTTTAGTGTAAGCTTGATTCCAGTAACTTTACAGGAAGATCATCGGGAAATACTTCCGAAATGCAGATGTTGGATAGGAAAGTCAATGCCAGACAACCGTAGCTTGCTTGTTGTTATCCCATGAAGTAGGAAGGTGTTCATATTTCATACATCCTCTAACTATTATTTGACTTCTGTTAACGGTGTAAGAAAGAGGTTGTTCAAGGGACTTTGTTCATTTATTGACGTTGGTGGTCCTGCAGTTCATTGTTATGAAGCTGAAATGTGTTAAACACTGTTTTTTTAGTTAGTTCGTGACTGACGAAAGTATTAGTCTGGTATGCGAACTGTTTACTTGGGCTGTGTTCTGCCACCTGTAGATGTATAGAATTCAGGAATCTGGTTCAGAAGTAATAAGAAAGAATAGCCTCATTAGGAAGTAACCACTACTAAGGTTTGGCTGTGCAAATGCCACTGCTACATTGAAACTCATATGGATCGTTGTGCATCTATTTCTGGAGCTAACTGGTGGCTCTGAATGAGCCCTCTTCATATTCGAAGGACAGTATGAAGGGCTAGATTCTCCGAGTTGTAAAAGTTATGTTATAAAGACACATGGTCAATTTATGTTTGAGTTGTTTTGCATTTAATTGTAAGAGAATTGACGTCTTTTGATGGAGTGCCTAATCACAATTGCAGTCGGTGGTTGGGTTGAAACGGACATCGGCTAGTCTCACGATTGTTGCTAGATTTTACAGGTCCATGCAGTTGTAAAGGGCACAGATAGTTGTTGAGCTGAATGCAGTTGAGAAGTGCACTTTGTGTTCTACAACTCGAGTTCAAACCATCTTAGTCGATGAGGGTTCACAATCCCATTGTTGCACTCTTACTCTGTATTTTTTCGTGGTGGGACACTGCCACAACACCTCACAGTCGAAATACGGCAAGCTTCGGTCGTCGGTGAGTGTGCCTGTGTCCCAGAACCTGTCACAAGGTGAATATGTGGTCGATAAACTGTCGTCGGTCTGAATGAAGTCTGCCTAGTTTTCTCGAGTTTGTTGTTGTCAGACTCCAGTTAGGCGTCGTATAAGTATGAACTCGAGGATGTTGGATACGGTGTTTGTCAAACTGATAATCATATGGTTGTCACGTGAAGACTTCTCTCTCTTTTTATCGGATGGAGTGGTTGGGGAAGTATGGCAGTCTGGGGGCACTATCTCTGGTCCCTTCAGCTTACTTCATATCTCGGCCACTGTAATTTTTGGTTTCCTGTCTCCTCCTTTAAAATCTTTAGATGACAAACCGTCAGATTTTGTTGCTTTTCATCATTCCAGGTTCGATACAGCCTTCTCAATGTTCAAGAGAGTTGGAGGACCGACATTTCTACCCGATTGGGGTTCGGGCTTGATGCTGGCCAACTGTAGAGTTGATATGAGTCAGTTGGACTGTGTTCTGCCCAACGTTGTTGTCGCCTGCCGTGGGTAGTTGATCAGCATCGGGTCCTTTTTGACGATGGTTTCACTAACCATCATCTTTGTGTCGGTACCCTTGAAAAGCCTAAAGATTTGCCGGGTGTTACCGAACGCTGATGCCTTCTGCATCTCTGGCGCTTTCATCACCCACCACTGCTCCCTATCGATGCGAAGAGTCTCGTTTAATTTACGTTTCAGTTGGTTTCGCTGTTCATAGTGGTCAGAGCTATCTGGAGTTAGTCTTCTCGCATGAACGAGTTCCGATGGGGTTACAGAAATCCAGTGACGTTTCTTACCATTCGGGTGTAGGTTTGTGACTGTGTTTACCACTCTTTCTTTCTACAGCAGA